AAGACGGGATCTGACAGTGCTCATATTTTTTATGGATATTGTTTTCTGGAACTCGGTTTTCTTGTTTTAAAAAGATTCTGGCCGAGATTATAAGCTGCCTCCCATTGGCTGTCAAAAAAAAAGAAATGCAAAAGTATCTGGAAGTGCATGACGAGATTCTAAACCGTGAATCTCGTCATAAACTTGTTTTCCGATTTGTTTTTTGAGCTTTTTTTAAAATACTTTTTCCAATAAAAAATGGCCGTCCGTCCGACTCTTCCTTGCCTGAGGGGACCGAAATTGATTGCTTGGATTTAGCAATGCGACTTCTTGGATCCCCCACCCAGACAGATTCATCCGCACGCAGCCAAAATCGTGGTCAGATACATTAAAAAAAAGTGGTAGTGTGGGTATGCAGAAAGTCGTGATCCCCCTGTTTTTCAAAGGGATCCCCCCATTTCGTGGCCTTATGCATTTTCTTTTCTGTCTTTTTCTTATGTTTAAAAGTATTTTTTTTTATTCCCATTTTTACCTGTCTCAGGTCTAGAATGTCGTCTTATCCCTTGGCTAATAGGGCTTTGCCCCTGTTTCAGTTGGGCATTCCGTCGTTGACTTAAAAAAAAAAAAAAAATTATGGCGGTTGATCTTCTGGCTTATCTACAATTTCAACTATCATCATTTGTTTGTCTTGAAGTGGTGATGTGTAGCATCTTTTTTTTTACTTTTTATTTTTTATTCTTAAATGTGTTTCTTCATTGGCAAATTACATTGCGTTTCCTGGGGAATTTGGAAAAGACTTCGCCGCGTGTGTCAAAGTGAACCTAGACGCCAGGAGGTCTGGTGAAATATTTGTCATTGGGACGGGAAGGCGTCCAGATACACTACTCTGTTAGGAACTGCAGTGCAATTTCGAAAAAGACCGATGCTGGTAAGTCTCCCGCTTATTGCACACATAACGTAGCGCATTCACTGGGACGTTCCGGCCTGAATGTGGACTTGTTTGCAGTCACATACGTCCATGAGTGTCCAGGTGTGGAGATGCGCCCTCCTTAGTGATCGCATACTGTGCGGGATAGCCCTTTAACCACCAGGATTACTTACGCCAATAGATGGTGAAACCCCAATATTGAAATAAATCAATAAATATTTAAAACAAATAAATAAAGACAGGAAGAACAAAATAAAGGTAGATTCTATTGGTTGGTCGTGAGCAACACCGCCAGGATTAATTAAGCCAATCGCGGTCTGTTGTGACACCAGTGTTAAAAAAACTACGAAGAAAATAATATAACGTGTGTGTGTGTGTGTGTGTGTGTGTGTGTGTGTGTGTGTGTGTGT